CCTTTTCTTTTTCCATACTTTGAATTTGGATGTGAGGCTAGAACCATTGATGCTTGTTTGCCTTGTTCGCTTAGGTTGCGTACCTAGTGTACATTGCATGTTTGCATGCTCCCCTCCATACCATATAGCATGCTAGTTTGCATGCCTAGGTTGCATTCCATCTAGCATGCATGCCTTGTCCCTTGATCTAGTGATAGGGATTGGGCCTTGGTTTGTTTATGTGCATTGCATTTCATTTGAAATCGAAATGCACACTTGATTCTTTGGACCATCATGTATGGAAATGCGTGATTGGTGGTCCGAGAATCGAGGCCCATCCTCCTTTGAGTCATACATATGATAGGGAGTGTGGTTGGTGCATACATTTGCTTGAAATACATTGCCATGCCTTGTCTGCCCTCTGCTGCTGTCAAACAGGTTTCAACAAGAAGAATTGGCCGGCCGGCAGTGTTTGGTGCCGACCGGCAAAACATGTTTGGCCGAGAGCATAAGTTTGTGGCCGGTGGCCATTCTCCATGGCCGGTGGTGTTCCCACTCAGCTGGTAGTGTTCCACAACACTCAGAGAAGCAACCTTGGGAGTTGTGCAATTTTCAGAGAAGCAGAACAGTCAAAGCAGAGGCAACTTGTGCATGGCAGTGACTTTCTGACCGGAGCCGAGCGCGCATTGCTTTGGGCCCTCTTCCCGAGGCTGTTTACTGCTTTCATTAGATTAGTCAATTTGTTAATTAATTAATTGGTCTGTAATATTTAATTAGCTTGTAGGTTAATTAACTTGTATTATTCTTTCGGCCCCTTCGAGCGAGGGCAAATCTGTAATAAGTGTGGGTACGTGTGTGCATATCTTCAAATCCCCACTTCTTTCTTCCTTTTACTTACCTGCTTTTGATGGTTAGTATTAGGGCATGTATATTTTAGCATACCTTATACTATGCATGCGTGCATCATTCATTAGTCTTGCATGCACCAGGCTCGGTACATCATACTAACTGCATAAGTATTTCAAATCTAACTTGAATACATGCTACTTGTGCATTTTCACATATCATTTATAGACTAGCCGAGCCTACTCTAGTGACATTCTGTATACGTTGCATTAGCCACTTAACATGGACTTGGATCATGCATTGATTGCTAACATGTCTTTGTCTTGGCTCGGAGTACTAGGTAAGCATTTATGCTTTAGCATACCGCATGCGTGTGAGTGTTGCCATAATAGCATGATTACCATGAGGCTAGATACTTATATGATATAACTGCTTGAATGCCTATGGGTGGAGGTTGAATTACCTAAATTGGAATAATGCATTAAAACTGTGAGTTTTAAGCCCACTGGATAGTGGCAAAACCATCTTTTCTAAAGCCCACTTGAGGGTGGCAAAACCTGCATTTTAGCCTACTTGCGAGTAGCAAACCATTTTCAAAACAAACATGCAATGTCTTGTTCCAATTCAGGCGATTTGGTCTATACTTGTTTGCTGTGCGCATAACGTAGTAATTCTAGGCTAATAACCGGAATAAGAACACATAACGTTTTCAAAATCGGATATCACGGTTAGTAGAGGCCGATCTTCGGATCGGGCGAGAGGGGGTGCTCATAGCTGACCTTCCCCAATCGTACCCAAGCTCCCGAGCCGAGGCAACTTTGGTGATGATGGACACGTGGCCTTTGGCACCGAGTCAGGGTTTCCTAAATTCCCCCATAAAAAATATTTAGGTGGCAACTCTGTATCTGGCAAAGCAGTCCATGTTTGGCACTTCTTTTAAAATCTGTTTTTCTCAAAACGATTTGTCAGATTTGGACTCTTTTAGTTCAGATTAAGAACCGTGACACAAATTGAGTCCGAACTGTAGCCTGTGGCCCGAGGGCGCGTCTACAGTTTCTGGCGACTCCACTAGGGATTTTAGAGAGCTTGACTCGAACTCATGATATCCTGTTTTGATTTCATTTATGTGTTTCTTTGCATTGCATGTGCATTGGTGCGC